TAGAGATTCTCTTATCATTTTTCTCAGCTTTGGACCCTCTGGCCATGAGTTGACTAGTGATTTAATTCTTTTGTGTATGTAGATAGGTCTCTACATTTGTCTTTATATTCAAAGATAATTCACTGCAATGTTGGAGCATTTGCATCAATAGTAACTAGGTTAAGTTTTAAATTGGTAATCTGCATGATTTTTAAAGTAGCACTTTGAGATCCAGAGACCTTAGGGCACCAGGGCACAGTGAAAGAGACTAAGGAACATGGAATTTGACCGTTTGCACACCAGTAATGCTTCCAATATAAAATAAGTTTAAAAATTCAGTCATCCTATGGCCATATAGTTCCACACCAAAGAAGGGCAGCAGCTCATATGCTTGTCCTCAGAGTAAGATGACGCGGGGTAGCTCCTGAGATAGCTTCTGAGTCATGGTTATGTGAATGTAGAACCATGATCTTGGTCTCAGCCACCTTCCCAGGTATCTGGAAGGAGGCTAAACAGAAGGCCTCAAGTGCTGGGTTAATTTCTGTCTTACAGGCTGGTCACTGATACCTGTGTCCCATGATTTAGCAAAGTCATCTACTCTACTCTCGTGGACAAGTGACTTAGACACTGAATGAACCATTCTGCTGTCTCCCACCAATGAAAACAGTTTCCTTGCTGTTTTTCTCCAGTGGCGACTGACATAGCTGATCTCAGTGAATTTCTTTAGTCCTTGGAAGTCTGCAGCAAAGTACTAAAGCACTGAGAAAACAGCTCACCTAAATTCAATTAATTTGGACTCCATCATTTATAAACTCAGTTATTTTACTTGACTTTATTTCTTTTTACATTACTTTTATCACCACTCAAAAATAAATTTTTGTTTGCTTTTAGCACTAGAGTATAAGGCCCAACCAAGGATGGAGTTTATTTGCCTTTTCTGAATTATGTCCCTCTTGTCTCGTACAGTGCCTGGCACATTGTCATTAATATTATCTCACTAGGATGATTTCTTCTTAGTTTTTTGTATATTATCATAAGCAACTTTGAAGTAAACATCTTCAGGTATTCCTTAGATTTAACTCCAAGGTGACTAGCTCTTAAATTTTTTCATAAACTATATCCCTTAAAAGCAATTATCATGCCAAAGATGTATCTATGTTTTAGGACTCACTATATCTAAAAATCTGCTTTCCAGGATGTCCTGGAAAATGTCTAGTGATCTATTTGTGGTTTTTCACATTGCTAATTTAGTAAGTATATAATAGCAGTCATGATTTCATTAATTTCCAGTTTTTGATAGTGTTTTCTTTTTTTAGTTTTGTATTTTTAGCGGTACCAGGGATCGAACTCAGGACTGCCTGCTTGCAAGGCAGGCGCTTATGCCACTGAGCTAAATCCCCGGCCCCCTTGATGGTGTTTTCTGATGGCATCTTTATGCTTCATCTGGAGGAGGAGAAACTGCCTTGTTTTCATTTCAGCATTGCTTAAAGTACTTGATTACTTCAGAAGCATTAGGTATTATGGATCTTTATATATTTGGCGATTAAAGAAAAGTTCACAGCATTTAGTTGAGGGAGTAAAATATATAATAGGCACTTACACCATTCTGCATTTTCTTTTGTGCATTTTGTCTTTCTTTTGAAGCTTAAGTGAGGAGACTACTTAGGGCAGAGTAGGGAGAACTCTGATTTTGCTTTTTCCTTTAGAGCATGCTTCTCTGCATATTCCTACCCCGTTCCAGAGGATGTAAAAAAGGGCCAGTGAGCTTTCTAGAGAAGATAGGGGTACCTAACTGAGCACCAGAGTTTGGAAGCAAAACAGTTCTACCTGCCAGTTTGGGTGTGTGAGTCAGGGAGAAGGGACATGTGGGGGAGGAGCCTGGCAGAAGGTGACTCACAGCACTGATGGCTGGCCTTTAGCGCACAGTAACAGACTTGAGTGAACAAAAAAACTACATTGCCAAACAATTTTTTCTTCAGGTATTTGACAATATTTTTGCTTTTTCTTCTGTTTAGTAGTAAAATGCTCCGGTGTGGCACAGTGGTTTTGAAAAATCCTCTGGGGCCCAAGATATCTCTTTCCACTCCGTAATACTTGGCCCATACATCACACTTTGTGTGTGTAAAATGGTTCCTTCAGTTCTATGTTAGAGTCCTCTTCCAGGCAGGATATATGGATGAACAGAAAGCAAAGGACAGAAGACTCCTCTGTGCCTCCACCCACTGTTTGAAGTTTTTCTAGAAGACTTATCCACCCCACTGCTCATGCTTAGTTATACTGTGACACATGTCTGTCTGTCTGTCTGTTGTCTCCCCTCCTTCTTGTTCCACTAGGGAACCATAAGCAGCACATATCTCTTTATTAAGGATTTTTTCACTTAGACCATTTGGCCCAGTTTGAGAAAGAGTTGGACTGTGTTCTAGGTGTGACTTCCTGTGGTGCCTTCAAAATAAGGCCCATCACAAAATAATGGCTTAAAAGTAGGGTTGCCAATCATCCTGGTAGATGGTTTATGACTGTTAATCCAGTGTAGCTATAAGTAGCATCTCTTTGACTCTTAATGAATTCTTGTGTGTGGACAATAAATTTCATACTCTTTGTACCTCTAAGACCTTGCATGATCTATCTGCCCTGACTCCTAGTACACTTCTCTGACTTCTGTTGTCCATCTCCTTGTTCTACTTCAACCACACTGGCTCCCCAAAGCTACTGGAAATAATAGGTTAGTCTTTCCAGACATCAGCATAATCTACTCCTTCACATTGCCACGGATCTGGCCAAGGTCCCCAACTATCTGTATGATGGGTATGACAAAGGATGAAATGAGAGACACAGACAATTTAATGATGTGTGAAAGGGGGCCTAGGAGGCCAGTGCCTCAGGATGGGAAAAGACAAAGACCTCTTTAGCTAGCCCACTTTTGTTAACCAGTGCAGGGGGAGGGGTTGTAATGTTCCGGGAGCAGTAATGGTGATGACAGTGGACTAGGAAAAGAACTAAGCATTGTTGTGAGACAAGAGTTAATAAACAAATTTTTTTTCCTCAAGCAAAACTTTTACTACTGCTACTGAATTATTCTAAAAAGCTTTACTGTCCTCAGTGGGTCTTATCTTGTTCTGTAAACACCACAGCGTTGGGAACCATAGGACTTTAGCTGTGACCAGGAGAAAGAGAGAAGCTTCCATGTTTCCATCCAGGTGACAGGGAAGGAAAAGGATGGCCTCGGAAATCCTTTAGACTCAGTTTATAATTTGTAGTCCCCAACATCGCATTACCTTCCTAATGCACAAATGTTACCTTCTCTATGAGGCATAGTGTGACTATCTAATTGGAACCACATCACCCATTTCCAAGTCCTGATGCTCCTTACCCTGCTCCACTGTTTTCTTATTTCTTATTTCAGTAACATAGGTATTTTCTGAATGAATGAGTCTCAGAATGAATGAAAAGTTACCTGATCTGTGTCCCATTTCCTTAAAGACTTGTGCATGACTAGTTCGGTAAAAGTGCTGAAGTATTAATAGGTGGTAATGATCTACTGATTTATCCCGCAACTATCTTTCACATTTTTATTTTCAAAAAAGTAGTGGAGGTTTTTTTTTTTTCTTTTTTTTTTTTTTCAGCATAGACTGTTACTGTTTTATAGCAGACCAGTTGAGGAGAAATATAGAAGTCCAGGATGAGGATCCTTAGAAACAATTTCTCAGAAGCAATTGTTATGTTTTGTCTGAAAAGAGAGATAATACTGCATTAATGGTTCTAAAAGTAGAACATAATGACATTAACACGGTGCTGTGTCGTTGACAGAGCTCTGTCTATCCTGGTACTTTATTTAGTGCTCATGATAGAGGTGCTTTCTATTATTCCTATTTAATTGATGGGGAAACCCAGGAACACTAATGACTTTCGGCAAGGCATAAGGCTTGGTTCAGTGGCAGAGTTCCTTTACACTTATGACTTAATGCCACATTCTTACTAAAGCTCCTTTCTAAATTCAGTCAGACACTCTTTCATTAGTTGGCCTTTTGTAATCTTGTAAGAAAAGAATGTATTTAAGTGACAGAGAGTGTTATGGCCCATAGATGTAAAGGGATGCCATTGGGACCTAATAGAGAGCCAGATACCATGGAAGTGAGCCCTTCCACATTTGTTACCCATATCCAAATGGACATCTGATTCAAGGCTTTTCTAAGAAAAAGAAAAAGAAAAAAGAAAAATTCTTTCTGATATTTCACATTCTCCTCCTGTATATTGCTTTCCCTACACATGACAGTTATAAACATAATATTATAATAGAATATATTTAGCACACCAGGTATCATGAACTATTCATGAATTAGATACATTAAGTGTGATTTACTTATATCTTGATCAACTCTACATAGTAAGTACTTTTAAGCAACTTTTTATAAAAGACCTGGAAAATGCATTTGAGCCCATTTTATAATTAGAAAGTTGTAGAAGTGGAGTTTGAACCCTTGTAGTTCATGCTCCTGAATAATCCTATCTAATAGAGATACAGTGTGAGCACAAGTATAGATTTTTTTTTTAAATAAAAAGAAACAAGTGAAGTCAGTTTAATATTATGCTTGATTAAACTCAGTATAATCAAAATTCAGTACATAATTACCATAAAATCAATGTTATTTTACATTTTATACTGTGAACTATTTTTTTTTTTTTTGTATTTCAAAATCTTGGAAATATAATACTTTAAAGCTCATCTAATTTTGATGGTAAATTTTGATCAGAGACATTTAGTGTACCTACAGTTAAAATGTACTGTTGAAAAAGTAGGTTTATGAGAGTTTAGCAAAGATGGTGGAGAGATAAGAGCAGAATACAGAGGCTCCCTGAGACAGACAACTCAGATGCTGAAATAAAATATCATGGGGAGGCCCAGACAGAGAAAGCTAGATCCTCTCTGGGAAACTAATGGGAAAAACCCCATCAAAAACCCCATCAAACATGCAGTGCTGGGCTACCATTGGAATGGCTAAGATTCCATGCTCTCGCTGCAGTGTCCGAACTCGCGTGGCTGTGACTCATTGAGCCATCTGAATTCCCACCGCTTTGACTCCCTGGAACTGCAGTTGTACTGAAGTTGGAGGTTGCCCAGCCCAACAGAGAACGAAGCTGACAAGGACCTACATTGAGCTGCGGTGAGTGCTGGGAATAAGACCCTTCCATGGGAAAGGGGCACCAATGGGATGGCATTTTGGAATCAGGCAGGACTGGCAGGAACAAGGAACAGCAGTGACGTCAGTCAGTTATTCCCTTCCCAGATGAGATTGGTGGGGTATTCTTGGTCTGGGTCACACCTCTAGTTGAAACCCAATAAGTTGTCCCAAACCAATTCCCTATGCATGGTGCACACTAGCGCAGTGAAGGCCTCAGCAGGTTGACTGACCTGGAGGGGAGGAGCCAGTGTACGCTGCCCTGTTTGCACCTCAATAGCACACTGGAATGGGTAGAAATACCAAGCCAGTGTGCTTCAGAAGAACCATAACCAACAAGGAAAGGGACTGGGACCTCCTCTATACACGTGAATGGAAGTAACCAAAAACATGACAAAAGTAAGAAACAAGAAAAAATCCCCAGCCACCAGCCCCGAGAACATTGATCCAGGAGAGGTAAATACAAAAGAGATTGAGGGCAGCAAACATGCAATATTAGACATGGCATCAGTGGACATAAAGAGATATCTTCAGGACCTCATAGATGAGCTCAAAAGTAAAATATTTAATCAAGTAAAGCAAGATACAAGTAGATTAATAAAAAAAATGCTAAGCACCTCTCAAGAAGACACAGGCAGAAAAATGGAGGAACACAAAATAAAGGAGAGAAACGTTCCATGAAGAATATAAAAAAAACATAGAATACATGAAGCAGTTTCAAAGAGTTTACCAGGAAATAAAAACTCCATTAAAAGCTGGTAAAACTGCTTGAAAGAAACTAAGGATAGACTATCAAAACTTGAAGACAGGTTTGCAATGTGTGATCATGAAAGGAAAAATTTCTTAAAAATAACAAGGAAACAGGCAGTAACACTACAAAGGCTAGAAGACAACAAGAGGATATATAACTTAAGAATGAAGAATGTGAGTGAAGAAGCAGGGTACAAACAAAGGAACTACAAGGGCTATTCACAGAAGTAATTAAGGAAAATTTCCCAAGCACAGCAAAAGGAAATGATATTCAGATGTATGAGGCACACAGAACTCCAGCCACCTACAACCAAAACAGAACCACATCCAGACATATAATAATCAAGATCTCAGAAATACAATATAAGAACAGAATATTAAAAGCCATCAGAGAAAAGAAACTGATCACCTAAAAGGAAAGCCCATCAAAATCACGGTGGACTTCTCGACACAGACCATCAAATTGAGAAGAGCTTGAAGCAAAGTATTCCAAGCTCTAACAGAAAATAATCTCTACCCCAGATTGATGTACCCTGCAAAACTGTCACTAGAAATTAATGGAGAAACAAGATGCTTTCAAGAAAGAGGAACTGGGGGAGTTCATGACCACATATCCAACCCTACAGAGAATACTGAAGGACATTATATATAGAGAGAAAAGTATCAGGATTTCAGAAAGAGTGGCAAAGAGGCCTCAATGAATGGAGCAGAAAGTGGAACGAAGGAGAAAAGCAGACAACTAATGGCAGAAAAAGAGCACAACAGAAATGAGGCAGAGAAGGTTGGCTATAATCTCTAATATAGATGGCCTTGATATGCTAAAAAGAAAAAGAAAAAAAAAAGAGAGAAACAGAGGCAGAGTAGATGAGGAGGTAGGGTCCACCGAGATGCTCTTTATATAGGAAATGTAATTAACCTGAAAAAGGGTTTATGGACCGAAAATCATATATGAAAAAATAATGTTCTATGTGACAGGGAACCAGAGAGTAATAGGGGCAACTCAACCAGCACCTGCAAATAGGTTGGAAAGACAGGCTTTAATAGGTAAAGGAATGCAACTTGAGATCAAGTCCAGGAGGGAGAAGGTTTGGAATCACTTAGGTAAATAACAGGTTGCCCCTCCCTCCAATCTGAAAACTGAGAGAGGTGGTGAGACCCAAAAATGCACATTACACCCTGGGGGAGTGAAAGGGAGGAATAGTCTTAAAAACGAAGGCAGAGGATATTGTTAATAGTGTACTAGGATTTAAAACCCTCATTACTTACACCACTCTGCTTAGATTATTCTGTCCCAGTTTGTCTACTTACACTAGATTTGAGGGCACAGACAGCTATCCCAAAAATAACAGGACATAGTACAGTAATCAGCCTTAATTTCCTATTATGTTAATCTGGAGCTCTGTGTTTGTTTGTTTGTTTTTTTTTTTTAACTGGTATCAGGGATCAAACTCACGACCATGCGCTTGCAAGGCAGGTGCTTATGCTGCTAAGCTATATCCCCAGCCCCCTAATCTGGAGCTCTGTACAACTTATACTGTTTTATCATGACTGATCTTAGTTAAAAATCTGGTTTGTTTGATTGCTGTTTGGTATCAACAGATTTTATTCAAAACTATTATGTTGATAGTATCAAGTTTGAGAGTATAGGCAACTACACTGAAGATGACAAGATTCACTACAATACCCATTCTGGTTTGATTATTACCTGTTTTTGAAGTTTTACACTATCTACAAAGTTTTGTTTTTATTAATATTGTTATGTACTGCTATATTCAATTATACTGTCTGATGATGTAGACAATTCTATTGAAGATAACGAGAGACAACACAGCAACCATCATAGAACACCTTGTACTGTGGTTTTATATGACTTTTTCATTTCATGTGTTTATAGGAGTATGTTTTGTTTTGTCTTTCTTTGTTTTCTTTCTCCCTCTAATATAGAAAGGATAGAAATACATGTTGAGACTCATGCATGCATAGAACATATAAACAGTTTATGAGCACTAATCTTACAATGCTTGATGCAATGAACAATTACTTTGAAGGAGACACTACAGTACCCAGTGCTGATTTTGTATGTCATGATGTGAAATCCAGCAATACTATTATTCTTTGTTCAGAGTGATTTTAGCCTGCTTTTGTTTGTTTAATCTTAACATAAATGAAAGTATGGATAACTGCATGTACATTTAAGTGTATAGGATTGATAACCATATTACTAAGTTTTTGTTGGATAGTTGAACAGATTGTTTGCAGTCTCGCTGTTTGAATCCCCACTTTGTATGCTTCACTTTTGTAACTTGAACCACTATTTGTAAGAGGACAATATGTAATCAACTAGTGATTACTTACTGTTTATTTTTTTCTTTGAAAGTATGTATTACTTCTACACTTTTTCTATTTTGTTTAGTCTTTCTTTCAATAAAATTAAAAAAAGAAAAAGGTTTACAAATTCAATTAATTTCATTCATATTTATTTTCCAATAATTTAATGGAGCATGCGATTTAAATGAAGTACAATATAAAATACATCCCTTTACCTACTCATTTAGAATGATCAAGAGCCATATCTCCTCCAAGGAGCTGAAATTACAAGCTAAAACTTGCAAGCTTGGCATACTAAGGCTTTTTGTTACAGTCATTGAAAGCTGGCCATCATGCACCATATTTTTATTGCTGGTTTATAGTTCATTTACTTTTATCTTTTTCTTGATCAGTAATGCCCAACAGAACTTTTCACACTGTTACAAATATCCTTTATCTAATACAGCAGGCAAATATCCTTTGACTAATGCAATAGCTGCTAGGTACAGTATCAAAACACTTGAAATGTGTCTAGTGCGATGGAAATTTTTTAAATTTTTAATTAACTTCGATAAATTTTAAGTTTGAAAAGCTACATTTGACCAGTGACAGCTTTGTTGGAGATCACACACGACCGCCTATTTTAAGCTCCATGGTTTGAGGAACTGTGTACAGTCTTCTGTCATGTTTCTCAGGGCTGGCACTGGGCCTGGTGTAAAGAACATTAGACATGTAATCTGCAGATTCTGTATCTCAGCCATTGATCTTTTCTGTGATGAGATGACGGTTGAATATGAGAAAATCTTATTTCAGAAGGATTTGGATATCTGAGTTGATAAGTTTAAGAGATTTAAATTATTATTACTAGATATGGAAAAGTCTCAAATGTGAGCTAGTGCTTACTTAAGTGGATGAATTTGTATAGAAATTGCTTATTCTGTCTCAGCTCAAGCTTTTTAAAAAGTATGTTTATAAACTGTCTGAGGATTTACAAAATGAGAAAAATGAAAGACTCTTCAGAATGAAGCACTCTTTGGAATCAAGTAGATATCTTTTTATCTCTCTTTTGGCTGAATGATTGTAGTTCCTGAAATTCTTGGGTTAGGAAACTGATTTGCCAAGTTACTGTTAGAAGCTAACACGCTCTGTGTCATGTAACTAGTACTCTATACATATTGACTTGTATGACAGCTTAATGAGGTGGACAATGCTATTATCTCTATCACAGAGGAAAGGCAATTGGATCAGAGAAGGTATGATTTTCCATAGTTACTCAGCTATTCCAGTAGAGAAAGTAGTTTGAACCCAGGCATTCTGGTTCCATTTTCACTTACCTTAATAATAGTCTCATTCTCTTTTTCGGTCTTTCTCTCTCTTTCTCTCTCTCTCTCTCTCTCTCTCTCTCTCTCTCTCTCTCTGACTCTCTCTTCCCTCTGTCTCTCCTCCTATCAGAATGTTATTAAACAGTTTTACTATTGCTGTAATGTTCTGTGTCTGTGTGGTAATAATTTCTTTCTTTTTTTTTTTTTTTTTTTTTTTTGAGCCGGGCTCTCGCTATGCAGTTCAGGCTGGCCTTGAGCTAACTTTGTAGCCCAGGCTGGTCTCAAACTTGCAACGACCCTCCCACTTCAGACTCCTGGGACTACAGGTCTGAGCCACCACGCCCAGCTGGTAATAATTTCTTTAAGATGATTTCCAGCAGCACAGTATGAGGTGAGGGAACCGGAATGAACAAGGTGTAGGGTAAGATCACTGTGGCCCATTGGAAAAGAATTCACCTTGGAACCAGAAGCCTCTGCTTCCTAATTTATGAAATATGGTAGGATGTTACTTAACTTATTTGGTTACTAGAATTACATAAATGTGCATATGAAAGTATTTTTTAATATATAAAAGGTTTCATCTAAACTTGTGTGCTTTCCTGGCTG